TCTTCATCGCGGACCACCACCGGTCGGCTGCCATCCTCTGGGCGACTTAGAAATAGCCCTCCATTTAGTCCAAACAACAATTAATCGAAATAAGGGTCACAATCCCGTTCCTCGCAGTCCGAATAAATCTGTTATTCGAATGATGTCTGTTCAACACATGGTCACGGACCACAAGGATCACCTTCCTCTCCCTCAGCGCACCTAACCCAACCATGGTTCAAGCCTAATTTCAACCACAGCTCACTGATTTTATGGGTGAACTTAGGGTTGAAAACTGAAAATTTGTGGTGGTGGTTGTGGTGGCGGCTGTGATTGGTGATGATGGTGGTGGTGGCACTGTGTGGTGGCGGTTTTTGTGGTGGTTCTGGCGACGTTGGTGTTGGTTGGGGTAATGTTGTGGCTGTGGTGGTGGTTCCGGCGATGGTAGTGGTTGGGGTGATGCTGGCGGCGGCGGTTGGTGGTGTTTTGCAGGTGGCAATGGTGGTTGTTGGTGTGATAGTAACTTAAAACAACGAAAACGCGTTTTGAAAATTTTTGGCCAAGTTATAACTGAAAACACTTGTCCTTGTAAGTTTTAAACTTGTTTTCAAAAATGCATTTTCGAAAATAGGAAAGAGAACGCGTTTTTACTATTTTGGAAAAATCGAAAACAGAAAATGGCTTGAAAATGACAAAGAGAACATGCCATACGTCTTTTGAAAACAAGGGTATAATTTCTCTCTTTACATACTTCCTTTTGCAGTGTAATATGAGTCTGTCTAATCAACCTTTAAATTCTCTTGCTGAACTATTTATGTTGTTTTCTTATCGTATTATAAGATATGAATATCACTAATAACTAAAACCAAAAATCTCAAACACCAAAGTTAGGATTAGTGCTAGTGAAAGATATAAAGAACAAAAAATTGGATGGTTGAACTGTTGGGATTAAGTAATATTCAGTACTCTCTTGTTCGACTATCTAATGCTATTCTTAGAACTTGTTGAGATTGAGAAGAATTATATATATATATGAGCAATTATTGAATGGAATGAAACTTGAAAGGGTATATTAGGTGATATTCTATATAATTTATCAGTTATCTACTTTTCCCTCCTCTACTGTTGGTAATCAAAGAATTTGCAAATTCCATAAATCTTATGGAATAAAATGAGAAATAAAGATCATTATTTAGTAATTTTCATTTGTTGTATGTTTGTAACTTCTCAATTTATTTTTTTCCATTTTCACAAGCTTATACTATTAATTCGGGCATTATTTTGAATTGAACACTCTAATAACTTCTTATAGGAGTATTGATAGGAGCGGAGTCAACACCCGACAAGCTCCAACGGCCGCCCGTATTGACTTTGTCAAAAAAGAAAATTTGCTTATATTGGGTGGTTGCTCATGCTGCCGTCTAGTGTACGCCCATACTCATTTGGATTCAATCCACCAATTTATATGGAGCACTCTTACATTTTTTGCTCCAGTTCATGTCTCATTTGTCATATATGAAGATGTTGATGGTAAAACTACGATCAACAAATTCCTCTCACTTAGCCAATTCTCTCCTTCTAAACTATCTAATTTTGTTGCTCAAACTGCAGTAAGAGGGAAAATAACTATTTGGGAGGAAAATATTAGAAATTTGCATGCCTACCTTTCTCCTAGACAGGATTATTTATAGATTTTCTTGGAAACTTTGAGCCATTTTAGAAGATGATGTTAGCTCCAATTTTGTAATTTTCAAAATTAACAATTTTAAAATTTATAATTTTCTTAGTCAAAATCATGTCCTCGTTGAATTGTATTAGGAGTTTATCGAGTTATAATCAAAGTCAAAATGAGTTGTTGAGTCATAATTAAAGTCAAGAGAGTTGGGATTGGTGTCTTGAAGGAGTTCAAGATGTCCAACATATCCAAGAAGATCACATATGATTATTGAAATGCAATTAGAAGTTAAAGAAGTGTACAAATGTTGTACAAATCATGTTCCAAATTCTTAACCACAAGTTGCGCTCATTTTTCATATATAAAATATTAAAATTTGGATAACACTATTTTTAGAAGAATTGTAGCCCTTTGAGTTATCTTTTCAACGTATTTTTGAATCACCTCAATTCTATATTGAGAGAGAAAGTTATGATGAAAATATTGACAACAGCTCGCTGCAGCTCGTCGGCATTGGCCTGGAGCTCGAGCGGCATGGTTACCCGAAAAATAGTAATATTTGATTTTCTGGCTAATTTGAGTTTTTTTTCATCTCAAATACTATCCATTATAAATATATACCCTATGAGACGTCCAAAAGTATGATCAAACAATAATTTGATTATAGATATCATTCTTTGAAAATTCAAACATCCTTTCATTGATTCCTTGATTCAACCATAATGTTATTTGTTTATTATTCAACCCATATAATGATCCAACTAGTAGAGCCTTGTTGTAAGTCAAATGGTTTGTTCTTTGAAAGCTAAAAACATATTTCAGTATCTCTTGCATCAGTCTACAAGATCAAAACATAGAAAAAATATTGATCAAACACCAAACTTACCTTCGCCAATCAACTTTCAGAGTTGCTAGAGTTTTGGGAAAAGGTGTTTGGAGTTCTGGCGCTGAAGAACAAGGTTCATTCTTGGAGGTTCGCACGAGATAAACGATACTTGGGATCGGGTGGGATCGGGAGCTAGTGTAAGGAGCACGCAGTCTAGGAGGATCAAGGTGATTACAAGAAGAGTTAGTTGGATCTGGACCATACTGTAAGGCTCATCATTTATACTGAATTGTTCACTGGCAAAGTGCCCAAAATTTTTGATCCTATGCGAAAGTTTTTTCTGTGATCATATCGATGTTATTTACTGCTTTCTATTTACAAGCTGTAGTATTCAAATTTAGGATAAATTGACTTGGTTAACCTAATCATCTAAAAACAATTAAAAAGTTACTATTTTTTTTAATTGTGTAATTCCGCACGTTGGGTCTAAATATTCAGTAAATTTGAACTTTCTGATGACATCTGAGAGTTGCTTAGTGGTGGATTGATAACCGATTCTATTATGGGAACAATACACAAAACCTACATATAAGAATTACTTTTCAAAACTAACAAATTTGTTTAATTATTTCAAAAATCAGGTGGTAAATAGATTTATTAAATATTAAATTATAATAGAATATATATTAATTATTTACACCCCATGACACCTCACCCACCTCCATCACCTCNATAATATATATTAATTATTTATACCCCATGACGCCTCACCCACCCTCATCACCTCACTACACCACCTTCCCTCCATCTCCGGCACCGCTCCGGCGAATGTTCCAACTATTATTCCGGTGGCCACTCCAGTGACTCTCCGGCGATCACTCTGACGGCTATTCCGATGATCACCCCGACACCCGTTCCGGCGGCCAACTTCCAAATTTTTCCAGAATTTTTTTGTCACAATCGGTCACAACGAGTCACAATTCACAATCACAATCGGTCACAAAAGGGCACTATCGGTCACAAACAGTCACATTCAGTCACACACAGTCACATTCGGATACAATCAACTAAATAATTTGTCAGACACCCACCAAATCCCATCCCACCCACGACATCGCCAACGCCACAGCACCGCCGTCAAACTCCATCACAGCACAACACAACACAGTACCGCACGTCCCACCTCCTGCACCACCATCGCCCATAGCACAATACCACCATCGTACCACTCACCCAACCACCGGATTGCACAGCACACCACCATCGCACCACAGCACCATCACCGCGCATAGCAACACCGCCACGATGCCGAAAACAACACTACAGTCCCCATCCACCGTGGTATAGTCTCCATCCACCAACTGAAAATAGATCTGCACCATCACCGTGCACAGCACCACCTCCATGATGCCGAAAACAGAACCGCCGTCAAACACCACCACCGTACCACACAACTCTACCTCCACCGCACCACAACCCCCATCCCCCGTACCACAGTCCCCATCCACACAAAAAAAAAAAAAAACAGATTTGCACCGTGCTCAAACCATGGATCGTGTAAGGGCGCTGTCACATCTCCGGCGACAGCTTCCAGATCGCCGCAAAGCGCAGCTGTCGTTGACTCCGCGCGAAGAGGCTCCGGTCCCCTTCCATTACAGTAGTATTGTGGTGCTGCTTCCGTGGTGGCGACGACGCCTCGACTTCTTCATTGCAGCATCGGGATTGTGGTGGCGACGACACGGTGTTTGTAGCACCGGGAGTGGGGGGGATTATTAAGGTTTGAGTTTAGGGTTGGGTGGGGTATGGCTAAGAGAGAGAGAGAGATGAGAGATGTAGAGAGACAAGAGAAACTGAGAAAGGGTTGGGAAGAAAATGATAAATTAAGGTTTTAAATTTTTAATAATTATAATTATAAAATTTAATTACCACCTGAATTTTGAAATGTAAATTTTATTACCTTGTTTTTGAAATGTAATGTTGAAAAGAAGGGTTTGAGTTAATTTTCTCTTCTATTATTCACATGTTGTTCGTTGATTTAGAAGTCGTGCTTCTCATATTTACCCACTTGTGTTTTGATAATGACTTTTTCTGTCAAGGGAATGGTTCGCCCCTTTTCTTCTGCGAATCTCCAACGTTCCAATTGCCCTTACGTATTTCTAGACTTTGCCCAAGGGTAGTGAGTTCGCACGATTAGATTTCTTTATTCAAAAGAAGATTCTAAAGAAAAAAGAAAAGAAAAGAAAACCTTCATTTGAAGGCTGAGCTGAATAAAGCCAGGTACAAGCAGGTACGTTTTGACATCTTTATTATTTACTTTCAAGAATTTTCACAGTTTAGAGATTCTGTAAGATGCAAATGCTATACCTTTGATTCTTAATGCATGCCCCCCTTGTATTTTTGTTGCTTTACCACTGAATGAGATAGATGACGATAATTTATTTAGTTGGGTGAGAATCTATGAGAAAAACTCCATATTCTAAATCCCTTCCTTTAAGATAACAAGAATATCTGGTAATTTAAATCGAGTTTCTTTCAAGCTTGAATCCAAATCTCTTTACAATGGCTTATTCCAGATTAAATATGAAAAATTACATTTTTAATTTATTCTTTTTTACCATTTTCTTGAGCCTACTCTCTACAGTTGGGACTAAAACAGGCCAAAATAATTACCGTAAAGTCTTTAACTAGATCTATGTATGCTAATATAGCCAAGGCAACCTATATTCATTGATACTCATGTTGCCAATTGTTTCGATTGGAGATGGAAACTGGGACTCCTTCATGATACTATTAGTATTGTTCACTTTTAATCTTGTTCCACAAAGTCTTGAGGTTTACGGCTATTGTTATAACGCAGCGTGATGAACTAGGTGGTCAAAGTTTGTTTGTAAACTGTAATTAGTCACGGGGACGAAACAAGGAATTCAAGCAAAAACCTTAAAACATACATTTTTTTGGAATCCATCAAATTATGAAAAAAATAAACTCGCAGAATTTTATCAATGTAAGATGCCTAAAAACGAATAATTAAAATTATATAATAAGAGTTTATATAAAAACCTTGTTTAAAAGAATTAAAATTGAAAAGAATTAGAAATAAACTAAATGACAAAATGGCACTAAAATTTTAAAAATAGTTTTCGGGTCCTAAACGAACTCGGATATCTAAAATCCATCATATCGGAGTTCGGTCTGGCTCGTCATTCTCTTTCTGGAAAGGTCTCTTGGGCCCAAATNTTTTTTTGGAATCCAACAAATTATGAAAAAAATAAACTAGCGGAATTTTATCAATGTAAGATGCCTAAAAACGAATAATTAAAATTATATAATAAGAGTTTATATAAAAACCTTGTTTAAAAGAATTAAAATTGAAAAGAATTAGAAATAAACTAAATGACAAAATGGCACTAAAATTTTAAAAATAGTTTTCGGGTCCTAAACGAACTCGGATATCTAAAATCCATCATATCGGAGTTCAGTCTGGCTCGTCATTCTCTTTCTGGAAAGGTCTCTTGGGCCCAAATCGGAGCTCCAACGCCATATTTGCAGGTTACGGTTTTTACTATTTTTGCCTTTTCGATCCTACTATTTTTCAATCCATTCCGCCATTTGTTCTGTATCAATTAGACTTTCGCTGAACTCGGATGGCTAAAAGCCATGCATGTTACTTGATTAGTCTCTTCTTTCGTTTCATTACGTTTAAAGTATTTGGGTCATTCATTTGTCTGTCTTGGTAGCACATAAGACTGGGTGAGTGCCATATATGAGAAAACTAATTGAGTGATTGTTATTAATTGAGCCAATAATGATGAATTGAATTCTGGAAGAAGAAAGCTTTAAGAAAACATTCAGCTATGTTTCTGTGTATATTGATTATCGAGAAGAAGGTTACAAATATTTATATATATACAGCTTATTACAACAACTTGTACAAGTGGCAAAACAAAATCTATTAAACACTATTCACACACTAGCACTATGACTGAATTTTGGAATTTACTCTAACTCCTTTGAGCAAGTGGACAGCAGCTTCCATTCCAGCACACTCTACATTCTTCTAGGTTCTTCTCACTCACGATCTTGAACTTCAACAGCCCCCTTCAAGATGGAGAGTAGATGTTTTCTACTCCCATCTTGGACAAATGTGAATGGAAGATGTTTGAAGAGAAGGGCTTAGTAAGAATGTCAGCAATTTGTGAACCAATCCTCACGTACTTTGTAATTATGCTTCCTTCTTGTATCTTGTCACACACTAGATGACAATCCAATTCAATGTGTTTCATTCTTTCATGAAACACTGGATTAGCCGCGATGTGTAAAGCCGGTTGATTATCACAAAACAATTCAGCAGGTTGTGAATGTGAAATCTGTAAATCATCAAGGACATACCTAAGACATGTTAATCCACAACAAACGGCCGCCATGGCCCTATATTTTGCTTCTACTGATGATCTGGAAATGGTGTTTTGTTTCTTAGATCTCCAAGACACCAATGAAGAACAAATAAATACACAATAACCTGTTATTGATCTCTTAGAGCCTGGACATGCCCCCCAATCCGAATCAGTGTAGGCTTTAAACTGTAAACTTGAGGATGAAGAGAACAATAGTCTTAGGCCTGATGATCCCTTGATGTATCTTAGCACCTCATGTGCAACTTCAGGTGTAGCACTCTAGGATTTTGCATGTATTGACTTAGCACGTGCACTGAATATGATAGATCAGGTCCGGTGATTGTTGGGTAGAGTAATCTTCTTACTAGTCTTCTTTATAAAGTCGGATGCGAAAGGACCTCTCCTTCATCTTTGGACGGCTTAGTATTTTGATCAAGAGGAAGTTTGGTTGGAGTGACTCCAATGGTACCCGAAACTACCTAAATATCAAATGCATATTTTCTTTGGCAAATTTGAATTCCCTTTGTTAATCTAGCTACCTTTATCCCAAGAAGGTATTTCAAGTTTCCCAAGTCTTTAATTTTAAACTTATCATCAAGTAAATCTTTAAAGGAATTGATAATCTCTACATTATCACCAGCCATTATTATGTCACCAACATAAACTAATACAGCTGTAAAGGAATCACCGTTGATCCTTGTGAACAAACTATAATTGGACTGATGGAAGCCCTGTTCAATGATGAAAATTGATAACTTTGAGTACCAATGACGAAAGTTTGCTTCAAACCATATAGACTTTTATTGAGTTTGCAAACTTTTGAAGTTCCATTAACAGAATAGACATGAGGTATTTGCATATAGACTTCTTCTTCCAAGTCTCAGTGCTAAAATGCATTCTTCACTTCGAATTGGTGTAAGTAACAACCCTTTACAGTTGCTACTACGAGCAATGTTCTCACCGTTACCAATTTTCCCACAGGTGAGAAAGTCTCATGACAGTCTACTCCTTCCAACTGAGTGTATCCTTTTGCCACCAGCATTGCTTTATACCTCTTAATTGTTTCGTCAGCATTGAAATTTACCTTATAAACCCATATGTGCCCTATAGGCACCTTCCCAGGTGGCAAATCAGTTACAGTCGAGGTCTGGTTTAGCTCAAAAGCATTTATTTCAGCCTGCATAACTTTACACAACTCAAGGGATTTGATAGCTTCTTGGTAAGTAGTTGGTTCTGGATGTGTAAGTATGGATGAGGCAAAACTTTGTGGTTGTTAGACAGTTTATGATATGAAAGTGTTGCACATAAAGGAATGGGATACCTGAAGTCACGGTGCTTTTTCTTCTTGTTGGACTCTTGAGAATGAGTGAGTGAGGATGCTTACTGGCAAATGAAATCCTGTAAATAGGTAGGTGTTCTTCTACTTCTATCAGATCTTCACGGCATATGAGAACCACCTGAGACATCAAGTGATGATTCAAATTTAGTAGAAGGCTCATTTGTTTTTGAAAGTTCCACATCTTGATTGGAGTCTTGTGGTGGTTCCATTTGTGTTAAGAATTGGAATTAATTAGATAATCTAGGTTAATGTTACTTGGTTGAGGGTAAGCCAAGTCTATGGGAGTTGGCAGCTTATAAGTAGGACTTGAGAGATCATCATTATCTTTGATATTAGACCTTTTTCAGGGAAATAAGTTTTCATGAAACACCACATTTCTTGATATAAAAATTTTGTTGGTTTCCAAGTCAAAAAACTTGTATCCTTTGGTTCCAAATGGATATCCTAAGAAAACACATCTTACTCCCCTTGAATCAAATTTATGTATGTTGTGTGCAAGTGTGGTAGCAAAAGTAAGGAAACCAAACACCCTAAGATTAGAATAGCATGGTTTAGTTTTGAAAAGAACTTCAAAAGGTGTCTTGTTGTCTAGAATGGGAATGGGTGTCCTATTTATAAGGAAGACTGCTGTTAGAACACAGTCATTCCAATAAAACATAGATAACCCACTCTAAAAGTTTAGTGCTCTTGCTACATTTAGAATATGTTGATACTTCCTTTCAACCACTGCATCTTTCTGAGGAGTTTCTACACATGTAGTTTAATGTGTAATGTCATTTTTAGAATAAAATTGTTTTATATCAAACTTCCCTCCATTATCAGTTCTAATGACTTTCATTTTGGAATCAAATTGTGTTTCAATTATGATATCGAAATTTTGCAAGGCAATTGAAGCATCAGATTTCAGCTTTAACAAATAAACCCAAGTGCGCTGGCTGTGATCATCAACAATGGTAAGAAAATTCTTCAATCCATCATAAGCAATGTCAATACAAGGTCCTCACAAATCACAGTGAATTAGATCAAAACAACTCTGTGACCTATGATGGCTAACATTAAAAGGCTGCCTATGTAATTTAGCTAAAGGACAAATAGAACAACGATTCTTGGTGTTTTTTGTATCAGGATCATGATGTAAATTGGTTAGACGTAATCTAGAATCTAAGAGAGGACGCAATCTGAAATGCCACAGATTCTTGGCTGACAGCAATAGACAGAACGGCTTTGTTAGTAAATTTTGGTAGGTCCTGAACCGGACTTGCAGGGTAAACTTCATTTTGCACCAAATGATATAAATCTTGCATCACATCATCCAGACCAATCGTCCTCCAAGTTGAAAGGTCCTGCACATAACATAGATCAGAAGAAAAAATGAGACAACACTTGGATGTTTGAGCAAGTTTTCTAGAAGATATGAGGTTGAATGAGAATGATGGAACACACAGAACATCATGGAGAAATAAATCATTTGTGATTATAACATTTCCTCTATGAGTTTCCAGTGTCACATCTCCATTAGGTAGAATAGCTGATTGAGAGATTTTAGACTTAATGTTTGTGAGAAACAAAACTAAACAGACCATATGATTTGTGACTCCGATATGTACAACCTAAGGTACACATGAAATAGCCTTATATCTAACACTATAAGCAGATAAACACATATAAGTACCAGAAACATTAGGTGCATCTATGTGTTTGGTAGAGGGATAATTCAAAACATGGACATGACTAGCAGAGAGTGAATGAGATTGACTGGTTTGTGGTTTGAGCAAAACCATTAGATGGGTGTACTGCTCTTGAGTCAAAACAACTTGGTTTTTGTTACCAACTTGCTCTTGTGCAGGCACCATAGGAGCAGTATTCTGATCAGTAAAAGCAACATCCGCTTGAGTCTTCCCATAGAACTTATGGCCCAGAGGATCTCCATGAATTTTGAAGCAATTACTGATGGTGTGGCCTGACATTTTGCAGTGTGTGCATATTGGTTTATCCTTATTAGCTTTAAAGCACCTTTCTAATGAATGACCAGAGATCTTGCAAAATGTGCAAAAATACTTCTTCTGAGGTCTTAGATTTTTCTTCTCTGTTTTTTCTCAAGATGCTTCTTCTTGACGTTAGTGTCATTCCTTCAGTGGTAGGTATATGAGCATAAATATCTCATCTTCTCTTCTTGTTGAATTATAGAATATACCTCATTCAATTTGGAAAACGGTTTGATCAGTAAAATTTGAGCCCTAGAGACTTTTGTAAGAATCATTCAGTCCAATAAGGAACTTCATTTCCCAGTCTCTTTCTTGGTTGCTAACCACCGTCTGCAATCCTCCACAAGTGCAGTTGGGAATAGATTCATAGTTCATCAGCTCATCAAGGAGTGTTTTCGGCTTCAAAAAATAAGTACTCACTGTGTCTTGTCCCTGCATTAGTGCTGCTATTCTCTGTTTGACCTCATACATTCTAGGAGCATTTTATTGAGCTAGACGTTGTTCTAATTTTAGCCACAATTGATGTGTTGTCTCAGCATACAATGTGCTAGCTTTTATGTCTACGATCACGGTGTTTTGCAGCCAGGTGATAATGATATCATTGCATCAAAGCTAGTGCTCCATCAAGGAACTATCGATATCAGTAGGCTCACAGATGCTTCCATCAATTAACCCAAGTTTGATTTTGATTCGAAGAGCTCTCTTCATAGATCTTGCCCAAGAGTGGTAATTACTAGAATCAAGCATTTGAGTCACCAGTAATGCTGTTGAGTTCTCATTGGCATCAATGAAGTATGGACTGTTAGGAAGAGATGGATCATGAGAGTTTGGATTTGGATTTGAGTTTTGTGGCAATGTTGGATTTTGATATGTATGATTGACGCTAGTGCCATCATTATCGGCAATTCTAGCTCTGATACCATATAAGAAAACTAAGTGGTTGTTATCAATTGAGCCAATAATGATGAATTGAATTCTCGAAGAAAGCTTTAAGAAAACATTCTGCTATTTTTGCGTATATTGATTATCNTGGAAAAACAAAATCTGTTATACACTAATCACACACCAACACTATAACTGAATTTTGGAATCTATTCTAACTCCTTTGAGCAAGTGGACGGCAGCTTCCATTCCAGCACACTCTACATTCTTCTAGGTTCTTCTTGCTCACGATCTTGAACTTCGACAACATAAAACGAATGAAGAGGTTTTCAAAATATTTATTTGCACTGGACTGTTATTCAGATTTCTCAGGTGTTTGACAGAGTTTGAGGTGCCTGGAACTGAAGTTTAAGCATATTTCTTTATATTAAGGGTCATTTGTCAAATATAGTTTCCATTCTAAAACAGTCTGTTCCATTTACTTGTTGAAGGTACTTTGAAACTTGGATCAAATTTGAAACTTTTCTTACTAACAATATCTTTCTTCAAGTACCTCTTATAATTGATATATAATGAGAGTGTAGGCTCTTCGTTTTCATTGAATTATGCAGCTTATTGGGTAAATCCCTCGAGAAATGTTGATTCCGGGCTCAGTTTATTCACCACAGCTCATGGAGAATCTGATTTCACTTTATCAAATTAGTGCAGGCTCATCATTTTTAATCATTTCTCATTTTGTACATATGCAGTTCATGGAGAACCTGATTCCTGTTACAGAGAAACAAAATCCACCAAGAGTTCTTCGGAGAGTCAGTTCAATGAGCTGGTAAGCGTTCTCGACTCACGGTTTATAATAAAAAGCAGAGAAAACTATTAATTATTTAAGAGTTAAATGCTGTTAATGAAGGAATTCTGGGTTTATTCTGTGAACTATGGCCTCTCCACAGGGGGGAAGAAGACTGCTGATGTTCGGCTAATAAGTCTAATTATGAATAATTTGTTGCCTTGAAAATTACCACGTTTGTTTATTATAAGAAACTAAGCAAGTTTTAAAGTAAATAATTTTTTTATTGGTGAGAATGAAAAATAAGTTATTTTGATTTGAAGGTGGTAAGTACTTTTTTTAAAAAGTGACTTTATATATATACTTGAGAGTAAAAGTAATTTAACCAAATAAAAGTATAAGTTGATTTTGGTTGGTATCTGTACCTATGGTAAAAATTTGATGACGTTTATTGTAAGTGATCATTAACAAGTTATATATCAATACTAAAGATAAACACTAGTTTAGGTGGCAACGGACTCCACTTCCTACAATTGATTTTTAATTGTATTTATTTTATTTTAACCCACATGAGGCGATGTGATCCATTACAAACTAGCATGTTTGGGAGTGATTAAAATCCAATTAAAATTGAAAATATAGTCGTTATTGGGCCCCACTCGTCTAATAAAAGTCAACAATAATTGCTAATTTTTCAATTTTAATTTCTACCGAACACGCTTCTTATCTCTCTATTCTTTAGACATAATTATCGATGAAGTAATGGATTAGGTGGTTACTTAATTGCTTTTGACAATTAATCACTTATGTAACATCTCGAAAATTTTATAGAATAAAATTATTTGTTATATCTGCTATATTTTTATAATTTTAAAAAGTTGATAGGCTAAAATAAAATAGTATTAAATCCAATATTATTTTAGGTTAAATAATTAATTATTGATAAAATGATAGTTAGTATAGTAATATTGGGGATTTTACTCCTTGTACCGGGGGGTGTACCCCCCCCCCCCCCCCCCAGGGGGTTGTACACCCCCCCGGTACGAATAGCACGTCCCTAATATTGGACTCCTTCTATAGCTTGTAATTAATTAAAAATCTTCAACTTGAAAAATAATTAGTTTGTATAAGTCTTCCAAGTTATTTCAATTCAAAAATTGTATTTAATGGTATTTTTTATTAGTTAATAAAATAACTTTTAAAATAATTAGGAAAATAAAGTAATATTATTCTATATAAATCAATGTTTATCTTTAAATTTGAAAAAGATTTGAAATATCTTATTTGTTATTTCATTTTAACCTCCGAATTCAATTTCTCATGTGCATGTCACTTTGAACCCTTTTGTATAGTGACAGTGTGTGTGTGTGTGTGTGTGTTATTTTACACGTTATTTGTTAGTTGGATAAATCCACCAATTATGTTTCATGTTCCCACTAACTTCTAACCACCTCACATTATCCAATAAATTCACGTTTCTTTTTCTTATTTCAAATATCTATTAGTTTATCTTCCACTATACAATTATCATTTCACTTACATTTTATTTCCAGCAACAAAATAAGTAATATATATATATATATCTTCATAATCCTCCATCTTTTAGGAAGAAAGCAAATCCTTTTATAAATTTTTGGGCAGCTTCAAGATGTACAAAATCTGAATTTTTGTGAACATCAACTCAAGATTTTCAAAGGTTTAAGGTAGAATTACAAGGTGCAAGTAGTTTGTCCAACTTTATTTTATTTCTTCATGTTGATAAATGTCATTTAATGAAAGATATGATATGATATAGCCATCCGATATCAAAATATGATATATTATGAGCTCTTATCAATTTATAAAGATACGATATGACGGTATAATTATTTTAATGCGTAAATTGATATTTTTATTCAAGATTGCAAAACTACTCGTCCTTCCGAGTATTCACATTTACTCACCATTTTCCGTATCTCTCACAAGTTAGAAGGGGTCGTTGGTTGGTTGGCAATGAGGTGTTGTCGTTATGCTTGAATTCATTGGACCTAATAAATAAATCTGCTGTAATGTGATTGAATATTTTATATTTCCAGCAGTAACCCGATTTTGTTAATTCATTTAGCTCGTTCCTTTAAGTGGATTAGATCTTTTAGTGTAAATTGTTAAGAGAAATGGATTGATAAACATTATTTAAGATTCTCGCAACTACAAATTTAGGGACACTAAATGCGCGTATTAATTGTGCACTTTCTTTTTGTAAATGCAAGTTTCCCCTTGTGTGAAATTTAAAGATCCCCTTGTGTGAAATTTTCATGATATGCATTAATTAAGTGATAAATAGATAAATTAAAGAATGTGGAAAATTTCAAAATAATCTTGTTTAAACCACCTTTACATAAATTTATTAGTAATCATTTGTCACATAATATTCTTTAATGAAACGTTTGATAACGATTTAAATTCTAAAATTTGGATCGTTACAATTTAATTGGACATCATTTTATTGATGAATCACTTAAATAAGTAATTAAGTGATTCTTCATTTCATACATTTGGAATGCTATTGAAATTTGGAACATTAAATAGTCATATTCAATAAATAGCGTTTAACGTCATTTTGGATGAATGCTCGTCTATAACCATATCTAGGTCTTTTAAGTTTCTTTAGCCTCCCATCGACTCTCTAGAATAGAAATATTTGTACATTCAAGACCGATGTATGAGCAAAAGTAATGAATACGAACTTCAAGTGGACACACAGTGATGCATAAGCAAGACGGTGCAAATGCTAGACAATACACATTGTCAATAACCCGAATCTGGTTAAGAAGAATCTGTACAGGGCAAAAAGCAGCGTCTCAAATCATAGTCGAGTTCTACGACATCATTAAAAAGTTATTCATTTCTAACAAAGAAAAGGACCATACGATGCAAACAATAGAAATACATGCATTTTTGTTAAGAGTGTGACTTAGACATATTGTCTCTATTCACAAGCCAATTTGGTGTCGAAACTGCTTAAGCAGATTGCGAAAGCCTGAAAAGCAGACAGGGGATATCGATAATCCATGGTGAACATATCTTTACTGACCTTACCAAATTGGAGAATGATTTTATCATGGTCCGACTGCACTGGCTGAGATGACGTTGGTGCGACTGGTAGTGTAGCAGCAACCAACTGGAAATTCTTGACAGATGCAACAGTCACCCGTCCTCGAAAATTGAGGCACCAGCATTGTAATTGTTCATGCCATCTGGGCGCCTTGTTTTTCAGAACCAATGGTCTCGTTTTACCATCAACGTCCTCGTTGGATGACCCTACAATATCAGAAAATCGGGAGCTGCTGAACTCGGTTGAGTGATCAAGGGATTTTGAGAAAGAGATGCTCCGAAACGAGTCCTCAAGGGGCCTTGGAAGAAGCTCTGGCTGTCCAGGCACTACACCATTAGGCTCGAGGGCTGAGACGGGAATCGAATGCATTATGCAGTGCATCCTGCGTGGACCACGTGTCCCGAGCACATTCAGTTCATATTTGATTTGAGCTATGTCGTAGTTGCCACTTGGTACTTTTGGAGATACTTTCTTGGAATTGAACCGACGGCTTGTTCGACCAGGTGGAGAGGTCTGTGAACTAGCATGTGGAGGCTGTGTGTCATATATTATAAATTTTGTACCGAGAAAATTTGATCTGCAACAAGGAGTAAACTTTTGATATTAAAATAATCGAGAATTCCCACATTATTACTGTGCGTATACGACAGTAAATCAAGGATACCGATTGTCAAATGGATGAAGAATATAAAGAAATAAAAGCCTACTAGTTAATGCAAAGATTATTGAAAAAGGAAAATACAGACTTCTATAGGAATCCACATTCCATAGTAGAGTGAAATATATCATCATTAGTTCTCAATATATAACAAAATAATTCATGAAAAGAATAACATAAAGGGTAAGATACACAAGAGTTTAGTGAACTTCCATCAAATATTACCTTAGTTTTCCAATATAGGTGCTGCTCGATCTAGAAATGTTATCTGCATCCATTGAGATAACGTACTCTGTACAAGTAGTCCTACGAGTTCTTTTTGCAGAGAGAAGGAATTTCCCATTTTCAACCAGCAAAGCTGATAAAATCGAATTGTAACTTGCATGAAAACAGTCACAGACAGCAATAAAGACTAGGATCAATTTGTCATAAGAAAAATCAATACATCCTATTAGAATCCTCATAACTGTCTATGCAGCAGTCATATATGTCGTTTACACAATCCCAATGATAACATATTTTACCTGTATTGCGTAACTGAGTACACATGGCAGTACACATGGCACAAAATATGAACGATGCGTCAGCATATTTATTGCAAAAATTTCTTTAATGTTTCCATGGAACCATTGTTTGCCAGATTTTTATAATTAGGATTTTTATATGTAATTTTGTTAACTTTATAAACCGCAAAAAGAAATATGAATCTGCAAGATGGTAAGAAGAGAAACCTCAACAATAACCAATAAAACAAAGGACGAGGATTAAAGCCACTCAACTCTCAGTCTTATTACCACACGAAGTACTACTTAGATAAAGAAAAATACAGATTGCCAATTGGGTACCATAGAAACTGAAGAGATAAGCCCATAAAACAGCAAAGTAGTGCCAAGAAGGTCTTTATAATACTTACCAGGACTAAGACACAAGAAAAGGCGGTATGTTAAATTAGACGTATCCCTCTTTATGAAGCACTGAATAGTTCCATCACGCGGCCCTGGCTGTAAATGGCAAATATAGTAGATTCAGTAGACGCTTTTTGCCAAAAGCAGTTAATGTGCTATCTCTAGTATCTGAGGAAATGTAATATTGTAAGAAGTGAACGATCTCAAAAGACAGAAATGTAAATAAGTAAATTCAATTGCACGTGATACACATGGGCATGATGGAAGTGGGGAGTAACCTGCTTTAAAGAAACTGGAAATGTGAGTTTCCCACAAAATTCCGGACATTTAACAATTTCCTTGCACATGCTCCTCCATGACCTACAAACGGCAGCACAAGCAACTACATGCTTCCGAGAGGGCCATTCACTCTCACTCTCTTCCAACCTTCTTATTACATCAAAAAGAAGTTCCGGTGGGAGATTAGCCCAACGACTATTCTGAAGCACCAAAGGCTCATTCAGATCGTGAAATGAGCCGTGTGATTTTCCCCTATGATGACCAGGCAGCCTTACGTTAAAACTCCTCTGGGATAAGCTCCCTATACTATCTCTTATATCTCGAGCTATACTGCGGAATGACATTTAGTCCCCAAGCTGTCAAGTTGCAACTAGAACAAAGTTAAATATCGCTCATTTTCTTGAGCTTTAATCTGAATAATCCTTTTCCACTCAATTATTGACCTTTTGACGTGTTAATTTTGGCTGTGGATGAGCAAAAGCTAATTAAATCTCAGCAACTACAATATATCCAAAAAGAAAAGAGAAAAGGAATAAAGGATAAAAGAGAAAAAGACATTTATACGTAAAAGATAAGGAAAGAAATGAAAAGTAAAATGAGGGCTGATGTGAATAGAAAAAGACATTTCCATATGGACCTTAAGAGTGAATCACAACACTTTATTGCATATAACTTTTCTAGGTTCCGGATATACCAAAATAATAGCGAAAAATATAAAACTAAGATACTGATCTTTGTTTTGGTGTATAGGCACCCCTTGTATAAAGCTAAATCGAATAAACACAAACATAATGTTTGGAGCTTCGAATTTGATACAGGAATTAGTTTTTAATGTGCAAGTACAAAGTCTATTCTACTGCTCGACCCTAATAAGGAAGAAAAATAAGCTGAAATTTTGTTCATTCGACGTCCCATATCATCTAGGTATCAAGCATTTACTCATAGAGTTCGCAAATGTAGCAAAATTATAATCATATAGAAAACAATCTTCGATGGTACCACCAAGAAAGCAGTATCTAACCTGCCAGAAGGGCTTTAAGAAGAGAGTAGCTTTTTATCTTCTTTGGATATCTACAAAAACAGCTAAAATAACATAAATTTCTCTGAAACATGACAAATATAGGTCCAGAAATCTTTAAGGCCACAAATTTTACTAAAAATTATCTCCAGAATTACCAAAAATGGGTCTTGAGGATATAACCAGAAAATAGAAGAAAAAGTGGACAAAATAACAGAAGGGTGACAATGATAACTACCAGAGACTAAAAATCAAATGAAACCCACAAGATTTCGACCTATTTTAAGCATAAATAATGAAGAAAAGAAACAAATGCGAAGAAATGTTTGACCTATGACACAAAAGCATCTGAATCATGAATAATTAAAAAAAAAAACGAAATCAGAGATCTATATCTCAGAAAAGGAAAATCTTGAAAAAGCCCAAGTCTACAGAACGTAAATACGAATATATTTTAGCAATATCAGACCCAATAATTAAGAGAACTTTTCAAGCAAGATCAAGAAGAAAAAACACAGAGACATCACCTATACTTCCACGCACTAACAATCACAGAGGAGGGTCTCTTCCAGACTGAAGAAAATTGGATTAAATCTAGCATTACGAAGCAGAGAGAAGAAAAGGAGCATAGAATAAAAATTTATTGAAAAAGGTCTACGAATACTTTATTGCTGCCAGTTACTGGGTTGAATAATGGGGCTTAATTAATATATTGGCCACTACATCACCATAATCCAGGCAACGAAGCAATTACCAAAGCTTTGATTTTGACTTTTTGAATTTTGATGATTTTTTGTGCTTTTTCTTTTCTTTTGATTTTGAATTGTTTATCGGAATTTGATGGCAAAACTTCTTTTCAATCGACGAAATAACGAAATTGTAACAACTAATAAGTTCAACTTAGTTAATTGTAAAGTCGAAATCCTCTAAAATCAACATAAAAATTTGAAGTTTAGAGACTAATTTAAAACGAAATAATTTTAAATAATCCACGTGAAATTTCAAAGTATACGCGTTTTCAAAGTTGAGAACTGTCTACCGAATTTATTTTTTATTTTTAAATTTATTGTTGAGTAATGGAAGTTAGTAAATAAAAATAATTTAAATTTGATAAAAATTAAGCATCCGTTTGGCCCCATTATTCCACATTATAATGAGAGAAATTGTAATTTTTTGGAAAATGTGTGGTTGAAAAAGAAAAAGAATTGAATTTATTTGTAATATTATTTTATTGAAGAATGTGTGGTTGATAACAGATAAAAAAAAGAGGGAAAAATAAATTATAATTTAATAGAGAACAATAAGAGCCAAATGGGACATAAGTTTTTACTTAAGTAATAATAATTCGTTATAATCTTTCTTTAAGCTATGATTGATAGTTTTAGGGGAAGGAAATGATTATTAATTATAAGCCGTGTTGATTACAATTTTTAAAATATATTTTTGCATTAATAAAAGTTAATATAGCCTAAGGAGACACATACCTAAAACTAACGAGAGGGATTAAATAATTTCCTTTTACATTAGTTAAATACAAAAAAACTCTTCTAAGTTATAATTTCTGTTGGGGCAAACAAGTCTCACAATCAATTAACATTTCAGCTTTAGGAACTGAAATCAAAATAAAAATTTGAAGTTTAGAGACTAATTTTAAATAATCCACGTGAAATTTCAAAGTATACACGTTTTCGAAGTTGAGAACTGTCTGCCGAATTTATTGTTTATTTTTAAATTTATTGTTGAGTAATGGAAGTTAGTAAATAAAAATAATTTAAATTTGATAAAAATTAAGCATCTGTTTGGCCCCATTATTCCATATTATAATGAGAGAAATTGTAATTTTTTGGAGAATGTGTGATTGAAAAAGAAAAAAAAAATTGAATTTGGAGAATGTGTGGTTGATAACTGATAAGAAAAGAGGGAAAAATAAATTATAATTTAATAGAGAACAATGAGTGCCAAATGGGACATAAGTTTTTACTTAAGTAATAATAATTCGTTATAATCTTTCTTTAAGCTATGATTGATAGTTTTAGGGGAAGGAAATGATTATTAATTATAAGCCGTGTTGATTACAATTTTTAAAATATATTTTTGTATTAATAAAAGTTAATATAGCCTAAGGAGACACATACCTAAAACTAACAAGAGGGATTAAATAATTTCCTTTTACATTAGTTAAATACAAAAAAACTCTTCTAAGTTATATTTTCATTTTCACAATATTATTATAAATTAAAATACTTTATGAAATAATTAATTTACATTTTAAAAATAAATCCATCGCTATATGACCAACTGGCCGTAAAGGCTGATGCCTTATTATAAAGAAAATAAAGGGATAATATAGTGTGTTGCAAAATTAGTAAATTTTTAGACAATGAAGTTTTTATTTTTCCACAACTTGACTCGAGATCTTTAATAATTAATTAGTTCAAGTAGTAACATAATTAATCACACAAAATGATTGCAGAAATTACTCTTGCATCGTGATTGAACTTTAAATCTTAATTCTTTATTCGAAAAGCAACTTGTTTAGATCTTATTCTTAAATCTTGAACTTGAACATTGAGTCTTAATCTTCAAGCTTTCAGCCCTCATATCTTCTTCGGTATTATAGGGGTATTAGTCATTTAAAAATCTTTCAAACTTACTAGTGCTTGCCACATGCACTAGACATTGTAATTTTCTGTTTTCATCAATTATAATTTTCGCTTTTCATCAATCAATGATCAATTTACTTTCAATGTAAACTTTCTACAAATTGTAATCAAATTTTCTTTCGTTCTGAAATGATCGAGAAAATGCAGAATGTAGTCTAGCGGAGCAGACTACTGCCGTACGGTATCCCTTTCTGTTCCAAGAAGAAAGGCACCCCGTAAAAATTGGTATCAGAATTGCGACCCACGACTCTCGATAAGAAAGCTATGGATCCAATTATATCAAACACCACAAAAGTCGTAGATCTTCAAAAGAGGAATACAAAACAGTGCGTGGATGCGCTGGATCAGACAGCAACTAGGTTGTGTTATGCCGTAGAGGGCCTTGAGGAAAAAGTCGACGTGGCAGAGACGGAATTCGTGAATTGCACATCCAAATGGATGAAAGCCGAAGAGCTTGCAGAGCAATGATTGAAGCTGTTGCAATCATGTCTGATCTGCATGATGAAATGGAAGTGTTGAAAACTTAATTACTAGTACTTCAACGAACGGTTGGCAATGAACAAGTCATCGCACAAGAGTATGTTCCCAGGCTCAAAATTCCAAAATTGTGTACCTACGAGGGGCACGCGATGCAAAAAGTAGTTGAGAACTTCTTATTCAATATGGAACAATACTTTCTTGTAGCTTCGATTAAAGACGAAGCAAAAAAGGTTACAACAGTTACCATATATCTTGGTGGAGATGCAAAACTATGGTGACGAACAAAGTATGCTGATATTTAGGTTAACAAGGTCCGAATAGATTCTTGAGATCTCCTCAAGGAAGCGATCAAAGCGCAGTTTTTCCAAAAAAATGTGGAATATCAAGCAAGACGGGCACTAAGAGAACTGAAACATACAAGCTCCATCAGGGAGTACGTGAAAGTTTTTTCAGGACATATACTGAATATTCAAGATATGTCGGAAAAGGATAAGTTATTCACCTTTATGGAAAGGTTGAAACCGTGGACATGCACGGAATTTTAGAGACAGAAGGTTACTGATTTGAGCACGGCCATGGGATCCGACAAATTTTTAAGTACCTATCAACCAGAATAGAGAAAAGATCGACCTTCGGGGAATAGTCAAGCTATTGGAGGTAGAAGCAGACCCAGCTCGAACTCAAATGGGGAAGAGCGTTACTCTCATAATAAGGGAGGAGCCTATCAAGGCATCCATCAGAGTAACTTGTAGGAAAACTATCAAAATAGTCATCAAGAAAACTATGTGAAGGACCCTATCAGGTGGTGGAGTGTCCTCAGAAACGAATGATAAATGCATATTGTCAACTAGCAAGTGGCGAAATGAGTTCAAAGCAAGATGCCCCACAAGATAATTGTCATGGTGAGACTGACTCCAAGAGGATGAGGATATAGTTGGCGCATTCTTATATCGATGCAATACACTATTGCACCGAGCTACTGAAAAGGATGATGTTCTCTCGAAAGAGATAAAGATGGAAAAATCAAAGGCTCGTATTTGTAAGGCCAAAGGCCTAATGTACATTAATGTGAAGATCAATGAGAAGCCAATTGGGTTATGGTAGATAGTGTTGCTACACACAACTACCTCGCAAGTACCGAAGTGGAGCGACTCGGACTTGTTCTGGAGAAAGGTAGTAGAAAGGTCAAAGCAATCAACTCCGATGATCAACCAATAGTTGAAGTAGCGAAATCTGTGTTTCTTTATAGTTGCTCTTTCAGGGAGCTTGGTTACCACAAATACAATGGGCCAAATTCGGGCACTTTTGGATAAGGACACGACTACTCAATATTTGGTCGACCTTATCAAGCAGGGCAAAACTAGTCAGTTCTGGCTCGATGGGGTCCTAATGAAGGCCAAAGGGGACAACCTTTATGTTCCTAAAGGCAGAGATTTGAGGAAATCACTAATTACGGAATGCCACGACACGATTTGAGTAGGGCATCTTAGAGAGGAACGCACTTCTACATTACTACAACGTCCGTACTACTGGACTCAAATACGGGACGACATTGCAACTTATGTGAAAATCTGTCTATTTGTCAACAAGATAAGACAGATCATCAGAAAAAGGCGGGCTTACTTAAACCCATTTCCGTCCCAACTAGGTCATTCGAAAGTGTATCGATGGACTACATTGTTGGTTTGCCAAAAGTTGGAGATTTTGGCACTACCATCATTGTGGTAGACCGTCTATCAAAGTACGCAACTTTCATCACAGTGTCCAAGTATGTATCAACTAAAGAGACTGTTCAACTCTTCTTCAAACATATTGTCCAATACTAGGGACTGCCTAAAGATATCGTCGGTGATCAGGATCCTCGATTTACAGGCATATTTTGGATCGGATTGTTCAAATTTGAGCATAAGTTCTAGTTTTCACCTACAATCTAACAGACAAACGAAACACTTCAATTCTATGTTGGAAGAATATTTTCGGCACTTTATTTCTACTTCGCTTAAAAATTGGGTAAAACTTTTGGATGTGGCTAAAATTTGCTTCAATGCCCAAAAGAGCTCTTCCACTAATAAGAGTCATTTTGATATTGTGAATGGTCAATAACCGTTACTCTCTCATACTGTTTATATCGATCAATGTACCAAGTCTCCTCAAGCGAAAAACTTCTCTCAAGCGTTAAACGAAATATTGAAATTGCTCGAAGTTATATTAAGAAAGCTTAGGAACAATATAAAAAGTCTGCAGATTTAAAGCGTCGTTTTCTTGAATTTAATGTTGGAGATCTGGTAATGGTCAAACTTCCCGACAGAAACTGTTATAAACTGACAAGAGGGAAAGACTCGATATTGGTGCCAAAATATATTAGGTCATTACCCATCGTGAAGAGGGTTTGAAGAGTCGCACACAGAGTTGCACTCCCTTCATTTTGCAAAATCCACAAGGTCCTTCATGTTAGCGT